TTGTACGGTCTTTTCGAGTTTTTAAAAACATGGAAGACCAAAATTTAGTTATTCTCTGTTTGTCATAGTTTCAAGTTTCACACAATTAATTTTTTATTTATTTTTAAAAATCACTTTTAATTAATTTAATAATAATAATAATAACAATAATAATAATAATAATAATTCATTTTTAATTTAATTTATCTATACTATTCAATATCCAACTACAATGTGGAAGGTTGCTGCTTTTGCCTTTGCCTTTGCCTTTGCCTTTGCCTTTTAAGGTCTAGGCTCTTAAGTGAACATATAAATACAAAATTTGAAGCACAAATCATTAGAGTGTTGGCAACTAAGAGAAAAAAAAAATTTTAAGTCTAATTGGGGTAACTCTTTGAGGTGAAAACTGAAAAGTGGTCATAACTTTTGATTTGGGTATCGTTTCAGGACGCTCAAGTACTTAGTTGGAAACTTGGAGTCACATTGACAAGCCCCTTAGTCTTAGGTTAGGGGTTGGGGTTGTTAAAAGGCCCATAAGGTATCTGAGCCAAAGTCAAAAAGGCTATTTCTAGGGCTGAAGGTCGGTAATTCTTGTCCTACTTACCACTTCAGTAATTTTTTTTTTCTATATTATTTTAAGGTTTTCAAATCTCAAGGTCATAGTTGCATGATCTTTTACGCTTGGTTGAAGACTGAAGAGTTTCAGTCAATTTAAGGTTTTTCCCTGTTTTCCATAAATTTTACTATTTTGCAGGTGTGGCAAAAAGGTATCTTTTGCCCTGATACCTTGCATTGGGGCTATTCAATAGGGGTTGGGTTCAAAAATAGCTGAACCGGGTCCAACTCGGCTTTCTAGGTATGGAAATGGATAATCATAGATTCAGTTTGTAAATACCGGACCATTTAGAGAAATAAAAAAATACATCATTTTCATTTTATTATTAATTGCATATATGCATTAAAAAAATTGGGATAAGTAGACCGCAATCCACCTCAGAAATATGAAATTACAGCCTCTTACTAGTCTATTAATAGCCCCCCTATAAACTGTATTCTGCCCACGGATTTGACATCGATCCATGGTCAGGATTCATCCCACCTGTACGATGGACTAAGATTTTTAAAGGTGGACTGAATAATAAAAATCCCAAGCGATTCATGGTCATGATTCATCCCACCTGTACGGTGGAGCTAGAATTTTTAGGAATGGATTAAACAATAAGAACCCCTTAATAAGGTCTTGGGCAGAAAATTTGCTTACTTGGGCAGATTTGACCTAAGAAACACTTGCCTTAACAAGGCCTAAGTATGAGTCCCAAAAGTCAACTTTCCCCCAAGTGTGTGTTTTGGCACCTTATCTGGGAAAGGCTTACTTATCATCCAAATGGGTAAGTTATTTATCCATGGAGGGGGAAAATTGGCTGAGCTTGGTGGGATTAAAATGCCTATACCATCATATAATCAAGAGAAAATTCTCACCCACCCAATTAACATTTTTTTTCACAAAAGAACACAGATAAATATGCTTCATCAGATAATACTTATCCAAGTAGGGATGGCAATTTTTACCATTTCCCCAATCCTGTGGGGACCAACCCCAAATCAGGTGGGATGGGATATTTTCCTCCTGTGGAAACATAAATGAATAAATTTATATCCCCATTAGAGGAGATAGGTAGAGTATTCCCTGCCCAGCGGGCCCATGATCCCCGTCCCATAGGGATCCTCGCTTATATAATATTTTTAAAATATATCATTGAACATGTTTTAATATATTTTGATCTTATTTAATAAGATTGTAAATTTCAATTATTTTATTTTTAATTTTTTAGATGAAATAAAAAGTAAAAACAAAAACATGATTGATATCATAAAAAATCAAAGGGAATAGGGATCCTCGCAAGGATGGAGATGGAAAAGCAATAGAGATTTTTGTGGGATGGGGATGGGGAAAAACTCCCTGTTCCTGTCCGCCCTGTTGCCATTCCTATACCCAAGTAAGGTAAATAACTTAGTTACAAATGAACAAGGTCTTAGATTTTAGTATTATTTATTAGGGCTGTATTTGATTTGATAGAAAACATGAAAAAGACAAAAAAGTTATCAAGAAACTTCACAAAATTTATTAAGAACTTTCCCTAACTTTTTGTTTTTCTTTTATTTACCATCAAACCCAGCATAGCCTAGGATTTTATCAAATTCTTAATTCTACATAATACCCAATTAGTTTGAAAATTTAGCAAGGCCCAGGTCTAAATACTATAGTGGATAGATCTACATTTGTAGTTAAAAACAAGCACAGAGTAGCATTGTAATATCATGAAGCAGATTAAGGAGATTTTGATTATTTCAATTGAGAATCTACTCAGCATTTTCTTCACTGTTCAAGAAATTTGTTACTGGGAATCAAGAAAGCAATCTTGTTCTTATCCCTTTCATGTTATTAATATATCAAGACAGATGATATGGTACAAAAAATGCACTATAAAACAAAAAACATTAATCAATTATAAAGTAAGACATCACGGTTGTTATTTTTAATGTGATTGATAAATACATCTTGTAAAATGTGAATTAATAAAAAAATAAATAATCTTTAATGTGATTGATTGATACTAGAATCTAATGTGTCACAATTGTTCATTTTTGCACGGTAGTAGAAATCTTAGGTTAATTAGCTGGATCTCCTATCAAGAAAACACGTCCCAAAAACCTACCAACATGATTCGACACTGCACATATCATACGCAGCGGGTTCCACTTTTATGGATCCCAGTCTTATAGAGAGATTCATCGGATCACATTTGTTGGCAGGAGATCTCAACTTCAAATTCATTGATACAAACAAGACGTGGTGAGGAGTTCTAATGCACTGTTGTAAATTTTCATTTTTTTTTTTTTTTTTGGGGGGGGGGGGGTTTCGAATCTACTCTTCATCACTCAACTAGAAGAAGGACAATTTAGACACAACCCGTCTATCAACATCATTAGTTTGGGCCAGACAAACAGAGTTCGCCATCAACAAATTGTATCATAGCTAGTTGAAAGATGTTGAGAGTCTTTTCCAGCCTTGTTTGAGACACTTCCTCGAACCATCCCTCTGCTACTAAGTGTTTAGTAAGTGAGCTCCATACCAACTGTTTACATATGGATTCTTATAATTTATAATAAATCAGAGAGAGAGAGAGAGTTGTGGACCAATGTAGTCTCAAAGTACTCAGTCTGTGAGTTCTCTCGTATATTCAAGGAGATCTCCCGACTGAGGCTATCATCGACATGTTTTTGACAATGTTTCCAAAACCCACCTCCTGAAAACTACCTCGAAAGTGGTTTGAACGGTTCAACTCAACCAAACAATCAAAACCGTACAAAACCAGTGAACTGGTTAGCTTTGTTTGGATCAGCGTGGTTCAACTGCCTGGGTCTACAACAGTTTCAAATTTGTAAATAACCATTGATGTTACTCTAATAGTATTATTATTGGTTAGGGGTGATCATCAAAAACTGAAAAAGCGAATCTAATTAATGAAACTGAACTCAAAAGTCTGGTTAATCAAACCAGTTGGTTCGGATTCTATTTGGCATGAAAAACCAAAGATATTGATTCGATTTTGGTCAATTAATATAAAACACCAATGGTTAACCGAATCAATCAGTATCTATATTTATATTTATGTTTATAATATATAATATATTATTTTTGTTTCAACTATGAAACCGGAAAAACATGATATCGTGATATTAATTAAAATTCATGGCGATGCTTTAATCGGTCAAAATCATGGTTTTCAAAACCGGACTGAACTGGAAAAATCGGAAATCGGTCAAATCAAGTCAGGTGACCAATTCCGTTTTACCCCAGAGCTGTTATTTCACCAAAAAAACATTGATTTGGTCGGTAAACTGTTGATCCAGGTGGTTGAACCATTCAACGGTTTTGACCGTTTTTAATTTTTTTTTGTCAGAACAGGCTGACTGTTCGATTTAAACGATTGGACTGATCGACCTAGGAACCGGACCCTGACCAGTTCGTTTGCCGGTTCGATTTTAAAAACCTTGGTAAAAACTCTTTTTGGTATAGATTTTTGTTTATAATATAATATATTATATGTATTTATATATATATTTCTTTATAATATAAACCAAACCGATGAATCGATTAACCGGTTGACTTCGATTTAATGTCAATTCATGGTTTTTTAAAAACAAGTAGTTCCGGTTCAGTTTGGAAAATATGAAAACCCTTATATTGGTGAATCATCAATGCACGCATTAATAGGCATGGCAAGGAGTAAGGACAGATAGGGGTATTTTAGTAAAAACATAACTTAGGTGGGTGGGCATTCAGTAAATTTTGGGAAGCAGCAAGGTGAAAAGAACGTTAAACATGGTAGGCTTTCGTAAACTCAGAAAAACCTACGTCTCGTTGTTATCGTTTGAATGGAAGTGCCAGCTGGCTTCCCCGTAAAGCCTCTGCTGGCTGTAGGCTGTAGCTCTAACCCGGACTCGGAGAGACTCCTCCCTCGCTTTGTACCGCCTACGTTAAGGCCTCGAATGACCGTACTGTCCTCCCCTGGAACTCGAATGACCGAACTGAAAAGGTAAATTTCATTTCCGTCAAGGACAGTTTCGTCAACCGACGCTATAAAATTGGGTGGGCGGTCGGTCGGTAGCGATACCATTTCGTCTCGTCCTTTGGCAGCTGTCCTGTTCCAGTCAAACACACTTAAATGGTCCCTTCGATAATGGCTGAAGTGGCTGAACTCACTGATTTATTGTTTTGTCCTTTAGTAGGGCTACTTAATAAGAGATATTATAATAATTTAAGTACTGTTGATAGATTTTGGTCGTTCAGTCTTCAGTTCAGCCACTTCATCCGTCTGGACCCTGGACGGGTCGTCTTGGAAAGTTGGGAGAGGTACTGCGAGCTTTATTTCCGGCAAATGGCTTCCAGGTAAACTTTTTACTATCAGGGGTCACTGTCGTAATTTAATCTTCTATATAAACAATAAAAGGACGGAGCTGTGTTCGAGCCGCCTAATGCCTCAGTTCCCTAGGGTAAGAGAGAGAGGAGAGTGAGCGACTGAGCGGGGGAGTGTTTTAATGGTGGCGATTTTGAGCTGAGCTGAGCTGAGCTATTCTGTTTCTGTCAAAGGGATCGGTTTTGATCCTCTCAGATCAGAGCTTTCTTTTCTATCTAGGAATAGAAAGAGATCCACAAGAACAAAGATTTTTTTATTTAATGTATTTTCTTTCTTGCCTTGACGCACACGCCATTACTGAATAGGGAAGAAGCTCTAATGGCGAACAGGGTTTCAGTTATGGCTTGGTTTTCTTCTCTGGGAGTCTGCACCACCAGGTATGAACATTTTATCCATAAAAATAATAAAAGATAACTGAAATACCGACATGCCCGTAAAAGCGATTGAAACCCAGAATGGAAGTAAACCCATTAAAAAAATCGTAAAAAGGTCGACCCAAGATCGAGAAAATGAAGCTTCTTTCTTTGCTCAATAATCTCCCTAGGAAAGCTGACACATCTTCTGCTCAAACCCTTTTTCCAGTTTAACTCTATCCCTGGTGTTTTCATGTACAGTTTGAACAGTCCCGTCTGACGACCGGAAAATGACGTCTTAGCTGGCCGGAAGTGCTACGTTTCTGCAGAGGGTACGTTTTTTTTTCTGCACTTTTTCTCCTCGGACGAAGAAACGAAAAGCAGAAATGCTGGACTACCAGTGGGGTAATCCATCTGCAATGCTACTGTCTGGGGAGGAGCCAGCACAGGATTCCGACCAAACGCGCCAGATTTTCGACCAGTACAACCAGACACTCGCGGGGAGCTTCCTCTCTCATGCGACTTCGTTCTCTTCTCATCCCTTCCAACAACCGCAGCAACAGAACCAAACCCATCTCCAGTCCCTCTACGACTCACGACCTTACTCCCTCGCTTACCCGCAGCAGCCTCCGCCACCGGAACATGTCGCTGGACCCACTAGCTTCCTGGTCATGCCGAAGACCGAGGAGGTCTGCGGCCCGAGGGGAATAGATTTTCCAGCCAGAATCGGGCTGAATTTGGGTGGTCGGACGTATTTCTCGTCGGCGGAAGACGATTTCGTCAACAGGTTGTACCGCCGGTCGAGGCCCATCGAAGCGGGTGCGTCCAACTCCCCGAGATGTCAGGCCGAGGGATGCAACGCCGACTTGACGCACGCGAAGCATTATCACCGGCGTCACAAGGTCTGCGAGTTTCACTCAAAGGCCTCTACTGTTTTAGCAGCCGGGTTGACTCAGCGCTTCTGCCAACAATGTAGCAGGTTCGAAATGCCAAAATTACCCTTCTCGTTCATCTTGCATTATACACTTAGAAAGACGATAATGCCCTCGGGAGCTCCTGTGTTGAGCTAATGATTGGCGTTGCCGTACGTAGGGGAATCCCGAGGGCATTTGAGTCCAGGAAATTTTTCGTAATGTCCATCGACGTACTGTTCCTTCTGTTTCTTATACTGGGAATCGCCAAAGAGAAGGATAATTTTAGTTTATTCAGTTACTTAAATATTTAAGTATTCTGTACTGAGATCAGGTTTCATCTTCTGTCGGAGTTCGATCAAGGGAAGCGAAGTTGCAGAAAACGGTTGGCCGATCACAACCGTCGGAGGAGAAAATCACAACCCCAGCCACAGACTCAACAGCAGCAACAGTCCCAGCTGGAAACTGCTAACGTTCCTCCACCGGAAAATCCTGCCAGTGAGCTTTAACTGGGTTTCTTTCGTTCGTCTTCATTTTCCCAATTTAGATTTGTATCATTTTCACAGTTCACATAAGAACTGAAATATATAATTTCTGGGTTTTGTTTGTCGGTTGTTACTCATGAATTTAGAGTCCTCGCCGGAGTCCGGAGCACAGTCATCCTCAACAGTGACGGTTGCGGTGTCGCCACCCCGAATGTCGTTGGACTGTTTCAGGCCGAGACACCAAGCTCCGGCGTCGTCGTCAACCTCTTTGTTCACGCAACTGGGCGACTTTAGAATGTACTAGCGTCATGTTCAGGGTTGAAGCTGGGATGAAGAGGCCGAGCAGTGAGCAAGAGATAGAGAAGCAGTGAGGGAGGAATTGCACCTGGTTCTTTCTACTTATCATCGATCTACTTCTTTTTTTCTTTTCCTGAAATGCTAGATTTAACGTTGATGAAGATGGTCTTACAGAAAACATCAATGCAGCAGATCTCCTTCTGTTGTTAAGAAATTTGATTTCAGGATTTCAGTCTCTGGTTGGTGGGTGAGGGGGGTTGCAAATATTTAATCTTTTTTTAGTTTTTATTTTTCTTGTTTGAGTGATTGAGTGAATTTTGTGTAGTTGCAGGAATTACTCATGTGTCTGCAACGTATCTTTTCCTTTCTTCTTGTTGATTTTTCTCGATATCTTTGGATATGGCAATGTCGTGGACTCAACGTGAGGGACCTCCTGGGAGTTTGGCCCATTTTGAGACGATCAGGATGACATAAAATTAAATGGGCCTAATCCCATAAAATTAATCAACGGGCCCATAATCGGCCCATGTAGATCATCGAGATCATCGCCATCCATCCCTTAGTTTCCCCTTTTAACTAAAAATGCATGGTTGTGGGAGAAGGACAGGAAAAGAGGTTCCCATGGAAGCTCAAAAAACAATTAAAGCTCCTAAAATGCCTTTTAAAGAAAAGCTCCAAACAAGGAGCAGAATTATGTGTTTACTCTGATTTTCCATTGGTGAACTAAGACGGGACCTACACCACACAGTTTGTGGTTCGGACTTCTCAATCCTTAAAACACGTGACGGGTTACACGGTCCACAGACACAAATCCAGGCCCCTGTAGGCCCATAGAGCGGATCTTGCTCTTGCTTCTAGTACTCACTGATCTTAAGGTTGTATTTGGGTTTTGATAGAAAAATAACTAAATAAGGCACTGTGGAATTCGTTAGCTTCTTATCAAACCAAACGCAATCTCAAACTTTAGTGTAATCCACAACGTGACTCCATTGATTAAGAGAAGATATCTAGGTTTTGTCATTATAGTGTATGCATGGCTTTATGTGGAATATGGGAGATAACTGTTCGGGTGATGGTTGAGCTGGCCAAGAATGCCACGTGGCTATCTCCATGATTGCCTCTCTTTCAGGCTACGTTGACGTTAAGCATAATGGATAAACACGACTAAGGAGTATCGGTTTTGTCATTATAGTGTATGCATGGTTTAATGTGGAATATGGGAGATAACTGTTCGGGTGATGGTTGAGCTGCCCAAGAATGCCACGTGGTTATTTTCACAGTTGCCCCTCTTTTAGGCCACGTTGACGTTACACGTAACAGAAGAGCATGACTAAAAAGGATTATCCTGCATGGATAAGGAAGCGAACTCCATTGGGGAAGATGAAACCTCTCGAAGACCTCGACGGATGCCCTCATCAAAACAACCCCAGAAACCCTATCCATTTAGGACACAAATGCCAACTATAAATAGGTATTCCCTGTTCCAGATAAGGAACTTTTGGAACTGCACACTTTGAATACCTCTTTCCACTATCCCTTTGGCCCGAACCAGCGTTATTTCAACTTGCTTAGCCTGGCCACATCCTTCTCGATTTTACTGACTTAAAGCATTGGAGTACTTACACGGGAAATAACTCCTTGGGTATTTGACCTTTCTCCTGATTGTAGATCTCAGTGTGTGGCTTCGTTCTTCCACCTTAGCCTTGTCCAGTTGGCAGACTATCTGACTATGTCATCGGTTCAGAACACCTTGGATCATATAGCATTAGATTGGTGCCGTCTGTGGAAAATGTACAAAAAGTCATTTCCCAAACCCCTTTTTGTGCACTAAAAGCAACCATGCCTAAAAACACATCCGACCACTTTGGAGCCTGTTACCCATCTCGGGGATCCCGCTTACTTCGTAGCTCTCCGCCTTGGGATCCCCAACATCAGATAATGGTTGACCCTAAACAGTTCCTTGCCATGTAGTACAAAGTTGACCATATCCTCACCATGGTGGAGACATTGGGACAACCGGCGCACACCCCCAAGCCACTTGCCCTGCCGCATAGGCGCCTGCCACAGTCGATCCTCGCACCGAGGACTCCAAAAGGTGCCACACAGGTTGGAATGGGGCCCAGTCCGACCATGAGTGTTCGCAACCATCTTAGAGGTCCAACCCCCCAGATCGACCTCATGCATGCGATGCCTGCAATAAATCACATTGCTTCGGCACAAGAATGCTGATGTGAGAATGACTGCCAATGTGTGCAATAGCCCCCAATATCAATAGCCGAATCCAGCTTAATCCAAGATCGGCAAGCATCTCCGAAAGCAAAGAAGTCCATCAACGTGGCACTAGCGGGAAGAGACACTAAAGCCAAGGACCTACGACAACGACTGGCCGAGTTGGAAAGCAGCCAAATGGATTGAAATGCAGCCCCTCCAATGGCCCAACCAATAGAGCAACGTCACGGTCAGCAGCCCGCAAAAGAGCCCATCTTCGTCCAAGAGATTGTCAACAAACTTCCCCTAGGCGGATGGTGGTCTCCTCAGTTCGAGAAGTATGATGGGGCCTCATACCCAAAAGACCGCATTGAAGGGTTCAAGGCGATAATGGTGCTGCATGACACCTCCGAGGGTATCATGTGCAAGGCCTTTGTCAGCAGAACCTAGTATGCCTCCCTTCTGCCGAAGTCCATATCCTCCTGGGTGTAGTTGGAGACATAGTTCCTGGCATAGTACATCGCTAGCCAAAGGCATTTGAAGACATCGACTATCCTCATGCAATTACGACAGAGGGAGGAAGAGACCCTAAGGGAATGAATACTTGGCAAGGTTCAAGGTCGAGGCCCTCAATGCTCAGTAGCCATCTATAGACCAGTCGGTGGTTGTGACTGCCGTTATGAGCAAGCTGTGCTCCTTAATATTCAACTTCGCTTTGCAAAAGAACCCTCCACCCAACCTGAACGTGCTCATGAAGCACGTGTAGAAGTATATGAATGATTGAAAGCATAGTAACCACGACGGCCGAAGACTGGACCGAGATGCCAAGAAGTAGGATTGCCGACCTAACAACAGACCGAGGACCTCGCCCTCAACGTATCACAACTTCACTCCACTTAATGCTCTACGGGCCGAGATACTAATGCAAATCCGCAATCACAACTTTGTTATGTGGCATGAGAAGATGAAAACCCTGGGCAACAATAGAAATCAAGACAAGTATTGCGATTTCCACCGAGACCACAACCATGAGACTAAAAGCTTCCATTACCTTTCTTCACCACCTGGAAGAGCTCATCCGACGTGGATACCTTCGTGGCTTCATTCACATCAAAGAGAATAAACCTAGAGAAGAGCCACACCTCACTAACAAGCCCCCAGCCTGAGCTCCACCCGTCGGGGTCATCGCCATCATCTCGGGCGGGAAGGCCACTAGAGAGGAGAACAACTAAGCATGGAGGACCCACACTAAAGAGCAAGAGTGTTAGGAATTCAAATGCAGTGACGACAATAGGTGCCGAGCACTAACGGTGATTGAGCTGTACAAACTCAATGGATAAAGAATTTTCCTTCAAGCATAGATGACCAAATGCCTGCACACGGTCTGACCAATCTCCAGTGGCCGAACTCCGTGTTGACTAATGGTCGCAACATGATGACATCCTCATCAAAGACTCGACCGACCTATAACGGCTGAGGCCTAACAACCATTACGAGACCCAACAGACCACAAATGGTTTAAGTCAAGGACAAACCATCGATGGGTACCGTGGGAATGACGTCCTTGCCACAGAATGGCAAGAGGACGACCATCGAACTCCGTGCACCATCGAACTCCGAGCCACGAAGCCGAAGACCTCGGCTGGTGAGCATCAAGCCAAGCACCTTTGCCAGCGTAAGACTGAGGACACTAGGCTAAAGATCTCAGCCAATGCAAGAATGAGACCATGAAGCTGAAGACCTCGATTGGTGAGCATCAAGCTAAGCACCTTGGCCAACTAAAGACTGAGGCGACGAAGTCAAACGCCCCAACCATCTGACAAGAAGTCTGAGACCTCGACTAGCTTGAGAACAAGCATAAGAGCACAGCCTGTGAACCCTATCGATTTTCCGTTAGAGGTCCTTGGCATGCTCTTGGGCGTTGGCAACGATAGTATCTCCATGATCGAACTCTTCAGTATTGAATGGGCCAAACCCCTGAACAACACCGTCCACCTCTAGGAACTGACGCATCAGCTGCTACTGACAGAGAGTGAATCCCTCCTGCTAAGAGTCGGTAGCATAGTCATCCAACTCGTTCTAATGAGCCTTCGAATCTCTATACTCAGTGATGCCCTCCTCCTTCATTCGAGCTATCTTTGCCTTGGCCTCCTCAAGCTCTTTCCTCAGCACCTCCCGTGCCTCTTTGAGATCATGGACGCGACACTTTAGCTTGAAAACAGTGTCGTCCCTCTCCTTGACGCCGCACTTCAGCTCAGCCAATTCTGCCTTCAGCTGAGCATTCTCGATCTCTTGCGACTCATAAATCGTGGTAGCCCGTGGAGGTGGTCGACAAGGCCCCCAACTGAACAAACCAACTGAAGGGCACCGAATAGCTAGTACAAAATAAGAGAAACAAAGAAGAATAAGTAAAGCCAAACATACTGCCATGATTTGATGGCTAGGCCGAACACCAAGTATCTAAACATCGACAGGGTAATTTCAATAGCCTTTGAGAGTGTAGTAACAAAGTAGCTCAACCAGGTACCAAAACGAGTTTGACATCAATTGAATAGGAGAAACCAATACCACCTTAAGACGACCACTACCCCAGGATCAAAAGGGAACCTGAGGTCGCCAATCAAACTGTGGACGTACACATTAATCTCTACGGGACAGGCTGAAGTGGCCCTCTCCCTTATCCTAGGACACCTTAGTTCATACTCCTCAGGAATGCGATACACTTCCCTGATTTGAGCCAGGTTGGGTGGAGAAAGGCTTTATGAAGCTGAGGCAAACCACTCCCCAAATCTCCTCTCAAGGCTTGCTCTTCCGACTCCACATCCGCTTCCTTGACACCAATCTCCTCTCAGACCTCAGTGTTACCCTCGTCACCGACCTCAGCTGCATTGGCATCGGTCTCTGGTACCCTAACCTCAGTCACCTCGTGCCGAGGACTACCCTCACTCTTATCCCCCAAAGTATACTTAGTGAAAAGGGAAGACAGGGAGGACGTAGTGGAAAATATCTTATTGAAGAAAAAAAAGATCAGGACACCTGAGATATCGAGCAAGGAACATCATCCGAACTCCAAGGTGCACACTCTTCCCAAATGATAAACTGAAATGGCTTGCCTACCCCTTGTTTATAAAGGCAACCAACAGTCTAAATCAAACCAGATCAATGACGCTGATTTGATGCTGCACTTTGCACATGCGTGACCTTGGGAAGAC